CCCCCGCCCCCGATACCCGCTGGGGATAAAATCTGGATCCCCATCCCCGCCCCCGACGGGGTTCAGGTTTCCCCGTCCCACCCCCGCCCTCGCTCTATTTTTTTTCTTTTTTCTTCTTTTTTTTATAAATAAATATGAACAATTTAAAAAAAATAATAAAAAGTAAAATAATATAAATTTTTACGTATAAATATTTTTAATTTTAGTTTATGTATATATAAAAATAATTTTTTAATTATATTATTAAGCGGGGCGGGTATGGGGGCGGGGGCGGGGTGGGTATTAACATTCCCGCCCCCGCTCCCGATTTTATCAATCGGGAAAAACCCGAACCCGAACCCAATAAATACGGGTTTTCCCTATTCAAATCGGGGCAGGTTCGGGCAGGTACTCACAGGGACGGGTTAGATTGTCATGCCTAATTATGATTGTCCAAATGGATTTTCGATGGCTATATATATATATATATATATATATATATATATACACTCTCTACTTTCACTCCCATTTGATAGTGAACAAGTCGAAGAGGATGAGTATCAATAGCAAATGCGAAGAGTTGGATTAAAACAATTTTTTTGATGCCTTTACTATTTTTTGGATACCATTTTTTTGTTACGATATATGAATTCCTATGGTATAATAAAGCATGAAAATGTAATAGGTAGAACTATATAACTATTGTTTCATATTTGTGTTATGTTTTATTCTTACATCAAGATGTTATTTCTAGGAAATGGATCCCCTACTAAATTACATGAGGTGCAATGGTCACACGCCCAAGCGTGACTATTAACCATAGAAAAATACAAATGATGGATATTAACAAAAATAAAATTGACAAAATAATTAAATAAAATCGCACACCTAACAACTTGTTTTCATAGTGAACGTGTTGGTGCCGTTGGGATTGTGCTGTTCATTTTTTGTGTGTTTTGCTTGATGCTACTTGTGTTGGCCCACGTGACCGATACGGTCTCTCCGGTACAGTAATGAACATAGAGATTTAAAGTTTCCTATTCAAATATTAAAGTTTGACATGCAGTTCCCATGGGTGAGTGTAAGCATAACTTAGTGCCTTTGACAAGGTAAAATTTTAAAAATATTAATCATATTTCATTTTTACCTACTGCTTGCAGTTAATTATTTGCTTTTTTTAGGTCCATATACAAAGAAATGAACCCATTAGAAACAAAAGGTAATGAATGATTTGTTTTTGTGATGAATTAGCCATGAAGCAACCTAGGAAAACTAGTGTATAATATTGATATTCTTTGGATGAAAATGGGGTTATGGATAATGGTGGAAGTTCATCTAACATATGAGAGTTTAGATATAGACAACTTGAATATTCCAAATAAAGAAAACCAATCAGAGGGAGAGGAAGCTAATGGTGGTGATTATAGTGTCACTCCTTTGATGATTTGAAGATTCTTAATTTTGATGACGACCTTGACGGACATGGAGAGATGCCATAGATAATGAAGGAGATGAATATCATATGGAAGATGATTATTATGATTAGAGCTTGAATAATTTGCTAGTGTTGGACTCTTTGCCTTTGCTTATGGAATTTTAAGTAGTAATCAAAACTTGTAATTTAGCTTAAGTTATGGGTTTGAGACCAAGTTGTATGTGGCCTTTTTTATGTGTCCTCATTGAAAGTTTACTCAAATGTTGTGATGTTGAAGTTATTTGAATGAGCATGTTTGAATTTGATTTTATATTGAAGATCTCGCAATTTGTTTACGATTAGTCAATTATACGATTTAAGTGTTCTATACTTCTCGATTTTAGTAGGATCTTGATTTTAACTACTTTGAGAATAATCTTAATAGTGATCCAAAATAATTTTAAGTACCTACAAAAGAGGTTCAATCCATTAGAATAATTACAAGAATTGAAGAAAAGGGGTATTTTACTTCTATGTTTACTTACAAGAGTATTGTTTTATGAAAATGATAAAATATGGATTTATTCCCTTCACTCGTATATTGACTCTATTAAGAATTGTACATAAAATAGATAAATTTGCTATATTTTTGGGTGTATCACTTTTATAGTGACCAAAGTTAAACTTAACTAAAAATTAAATTATAGAGCAAGCTTTAGAATTAAGCTTTATTTTTCATTGAAATATATTGAACTCTTTTCAAAATAGTTCAATTTGTATAGATGAGATGTTATTTTGTTTCAAAATCTGTCTATTATAATCATAATTCGAAGTACTCTTTCCTGTATTCATGAAAAAAAAATTATTCAAATTTTAGCAATTAATATCCTTTCAAAAAACATTTTTTTTTCTTATTTGAATTGATAGTAATTCTTTTAATTTCTGTTTTTTTTGGCATGGCAATTAAATTTTAACTTACAATATTCATCCAACCTAACTCGATTTTGATATGAAAAAATTGCTTTAATAAGGAAAGAAATGTATAAATTGGGGGTTATGTTGAGTTTTCTCTATTGTGAGTTAAAGATTTGGGATGTGAAAAATTGTATAATTATGATACTTAAGGAATTAAAATTGTATAATTGTGATACAGACTAAAATTGTTTCATTAAAATTTAGGGGATTAAAATTGTACGATTACGATATTTAAATAACTAAAATTATTTAATTAGAAACCTTAACAAAAAAAATCACACAATTATAATAGTATAAGGAGGAAAAAAGGCTAAATAAAATATAATACTTTAAATAGATGGTTTAAATTAAGGAATCTAATTTAGTAGATTGAGTAGCGTGAGTTGTTGTAAAATCCCTTTAAATCGAGTTTGATTAGATTTCTATGACTTAAAAACATAGATTATTTAGATATTCATCTATAAGAAATTATTATTGAATGAGTTGAATATTTTTTATTATAGAAAAAGTGCACATTTTACACTATCATCTAATCATAGATCAACATCTATTGTAAGCATGGGTGGGTATACGGACTGGTTCGACCCGTTTAAGGTCCGATCCGTAAAACCCATGTTTTATACAGGCCGGACAAGTCCGGTTTGTAAAATAAATGGACTTCTTTTTTAAGTCTGTATCCGGCCTGTCAAAATCCGCAGATAACGGGCCGGTCCGCAGGCCTAAATAATGGTTCAAAAAAATAAATTTTTAAAAAATAAAAATATATAAAATTAAAAGAAAAAAATATTTTTTTTATTTATTTATAAGCTAAATTTTATCATACTAAATTTATCAATAGTTAAAATAGTTTAAAATACTAAATATTAAAATATTAAAATAAAAATAATTACAAATATTTAAATAATAGTACCAAACTTTCAATAATAAAAACATCAAAATATCATAAAAATAATTCAAATGACAAATACATACCAACTAGACATAATTTTAATGTCATAATAATTTTAAAAAATTAAATACACAACTTAATATTAAAATCGTAATATTTAAAAGTATTAATTAGTGAAGTCCGCGGACTAGCCTGCAAGCTTGCGGATTAAATTTTCCAAGTCCGCGAACTTCACGGACCGGACTAAAAAATTAAACATAGTCATACGAATTTGAAAAAACAGGTCCGTTATCCATGAAATTTGCGGGCTTACGGACCGGTCCGCGCACCTGGGTCCATCTACCCACCCCTAATTGTAAGTTTGTTGATTTTGATAATAATCACCTTGTTACATGAAAATTTTTCATTTTTCAGGAATTTTGAGGTTGAGAATTTTCTATATTTGGTATGTTATTTAAAAAAATAATATTATTAACAAACATGATTTTTTGAGAATGTTTGGTATGTTAGTTTCATACAAAATTATTTAAATAAAGATGTGAAAATTTAACATTGTGAAGTTACATTATGTCGTTATCTTAATTTGTTTTTATTTAATGTAATAAAAATATTTGATTATTGAATAACATTTATAAATATTTATGACCAACAAAATAAAATTGAATTATTTTCAGAAATCATGATTCCTAGACTTTTCAATTCTAAAAATAAGTTTCTTTCTACCAAACATCTCCTAAAAGTCATATTAAAACTGATTTTTAATTAATTCATAATATAAAATCTTTTGCCTTTGTGATGCATATTGATTAATCTATTTTTATTACGATCGGTGAATTATGAGTAAATTAACATTTTAAATATTTCTAACTATTCATAGAGAAATTAATAATTTGTTTTTTAACCATCCATTAATTCTTCCATTCAAAATTTATTTAAAACACCCCTTTACACACCTTTATTTACTCATTGGGCACCCAATAAAGGAGAAAAGAGCAATAACAATCGAAAGGAGAACTAAAATTCTGGGATTTTTATTGCATTGATGTTATTCCTAAGCATTTAGTTGAAATTGCTAACTCTCTTATTCATTATCTTTTGAGTAGCAGTTAGCATGATACCTACATAATTGCATACACAAAGAGCCCTGAACAAATAACTTCTGAAGCTGATAAACTTTGTTTCACAATATCTTATTTATTGAAAGGAAACATTTTTGTAACAAGAAACCGTGTGAAAGGGAATAGATATGCCATTAATATCCTATGGTCTACGAGAACGAAGCTTGTAGGTAGCATAAACTCCAAGTGCCACTACAAGAACTGCTGCACCCATGTATATTATCTTTTGATTATCTTCATCATTGAACCTCTTAACTAGACTAGTCATAGCTTGAGAAGCAGAAGCAGCCACTTCCTTAATTCTTGTCCTTGTTGTTGATTCATGAATGTCCTTTTTATTCTCACTCTTTTTTTCAACACCATCATTCACAATTTTTCCATTTCTTTCCCTTCCTTTCTCTCCTTCATATGTGTCCAATCCTTTACTTTCTTCTTTTCCTTCCTTTTTAGTGGCAGAGGAATCATCCACCACACCCTTTTCATGCGACTTTCCTGATTCCAAATGGTCTTCAGTTTCATTCTTTCCAATAACCTTTTGGTTTTCCTCATTTTCATCAACTGTTTCCCCTTCAAACTTTTCCTCTGCTTGAAGTTTGGCATCTTTTGCCAGTGTAGCTTTTGGGGTAATTGCTTCTTGACCCTTTTGAGGCATAGACTCTACTGTTTCTTCTGGTGGGGTTGAACTTGAAGCCTCATGATCAACTTGTTTTTTGCTTTCAACTTTTGTAATTTCATCTTTTGGGGGAATTTCTTCTTGACCCTTTTGAGACTTGGACTCTTGTGTGTCCTTTGGTGTGGCTGAAGTCTCATGATCACCAACTTGTTTTTCACTTTCAACTTTTGTAACTTGATCCTTTGGGGGAATTTCTTCCTGACCCTTTTGAGGCTTAGACTCTTGTGTGTCCTTTGGTGTGGCTGAAGTCTCATGATCACCAACTTGTTTTTCACTTTCAACTTTTGTAACTTGATCCTTTGGGGGAATTTCTTCCTGACCCTTTTGAGGCTTAGACTCTTGTGTGTCCTTTGGTGTGGCTGAAGTCTCATGATCACCAACTTGTTTTTCATTTTCAACTTTGGTGGTGGTGGCATTTTGGGGAACTCCCTCTTGACCCTTTTGGTGCATAGACTCTTGTGTGGCCTTTGGTGGGGTTGCCTCTTCTTTAGGAACCTGATCACTAGCAACGGTTTTGTCTTGATCATCATGTGTAGGAGCACCTTCTTCTTGGCTTGGTTCTGTTTCTTGTGGTTTTTGTTTAGTAGGGACTTTCTCTGGAATCGTTGCTATTGTAATGGTGACACTTTTTCCATCATACTTTCCCCTAATCTTGTTAATGTCACAATATTCTGGAACTTCATATAGTACATTGAAACGGGCCCTTTTATTGTTTCCAAGTGATCGATCACCATGAACTCTCACCCTTCCCAAGTCGTACTCAATTTTAGCACCAATATCCTCACGTTTGAAACCTGTACATAACATGCACATTGTCATTAAAATTGCTTCAACAAAAATACCACTTTTGGGATCTATGTTTTACTTTACGTGGGTGCCACTTTTGTTTCCTGGTTGATTTTTATTCTAATTGTTCATGTTTAGTTTTCTTACTTTCCGATTGTTTCAATTATGGCCCTCACCAGAATTGTCATGAAGGTATAATGTATTATTGATTTGTATCAATGAATAAAGAAAAAATGTACAAAATTTGAAAATGTTCAATACACATTATAATTCAGTATATTTATTTTTGAACTAAACAAAGAAACTATTATGAGAGAAGAAAAAAAAAGCATGCACTAATAACAATGTAAATTTTCTTTATACTGTTTTTAAATCACAAAATTATCATAATTAATGTAAACATCTTTTATACCGGCGGTGAATATCAATTAAGAGTATAATCTTTGCAATGAAAACTCTGAAACTTAAGTAGTACTGAATGTAAAAGAAAAACAATAACATAGAATTTAATGAGATGATACTCTTTCTTTTTCTTTATTATAATTAGTTTAAACTAATTCTTACAGATTAAGAAAGTTTAGTAGAGATTCTTTAATTTTGTAAGAAAGTAATATGAAAATTTCAAATTGTTCTTTATTTAAAAATTTATGAATTTTTTTCTTTTCTCTCTCCATCTTAATTATCTTTTTAATATCTCATTAATTTTATATACAACCGATTATTGATACAAACTAATATTAATAGGAAAATAGAAGAAAAAATATTAATTTAAATTTTTTTTTTGTAACATAGTAACAACAAGGACCAACACCAACACATAACAAATTAATTTAATTTATCCAATATGCCATTAACACCCTATTTGATAATATTGAAAGTATCTTCTCGTTATACCAATTTTATAGATATAAAAAACATATACAAGCATATATGAATTAAAACTTTATTTTTTTTTCATATAGTAAATAACTTATAACCCAGTGTCCCCTATAGAGACTAAATAATTAATTTAACCCAAAAAAAAATTTAATACTTGGTAAATTTTATATAAAATAACCTATAAAAGGTAATAATAAAATTTGAATGGTATAGAAGGGAATAGTAAATTAATAAACTAAACGAACCATCAGGAATGTGAACATGCAGGATGATTGATTCTGGCGTTTCCTGTGTTTCATATTTGGCTTGCAAATCTTGGTAGCTAGATTGAGATTGAGTGGTGGGCATTTTCCAATTTCCAATTTAATTTCTGTTTTTTGTTTTCGATTTCAACAATATGGTATAGAAACTAGAAAGAATGAATCTTGAACATGATTTTGTGGTTCCTCTCATCTTTATAGTTGACATGTTTTCTTAAAATTGAAACCATTCCTTTTCGGCTGCATGCATGTTCCTACGTGATTAAGCTTCATCAATTTCCCCACTCATGTGTGAGGTATAACTTCTTCAATAAACAAAGTCAAAGTTCTTTGTTTGCCTCATACACTTCAAATTCCAGAAGGAGTGGGCAAACGTGTTTTTGTTCATTGATTATATGTTATAAATTATCCTATTGCTCAATCAAGCATAATCACTTCTATATATATAGTTCCATTAATTACAAAAATGGTTCCAATTAAGCATTAAGAAATAACTGTCAAATGGAAAATGAATGAAAGAAAAAGTAAAAATAGTTATTAAAATTATACAAAATTAAGTTTAAAAACAATCTAATTTTTAAATTTATTTTATTTATTTATTATTATTATTAGAGATAATAAGATACTTCGTACCTTTATATACTATTAAAAAAAATTATTTTATTGAGGGATATATAAACAAAAAAGGTAACTACCAACTGACAAACAGTTTAAAAACGATAGTAGATAAATATTAGAAAAATATTGGAGAAAGTTGATATAATTAAATTGGAGTCAAAATTGTCAAAAAGATAAACACATAAAAAAACATATCACTTTTATTATTAACTAGAGGGGTAGAGGCACGAAGTGCCTCTAATAATTATTCATTAATAAAATATTAGAAAGTTGTGTATAATTATTTAAAGAAAATTTAATATTTTTTTATATATGGGGGTATAATGGTCCATTAAAAAATGGAGATCAAAAAGCGATTACATCTCCTATATCCCCTTAAAGGAAATTTAAGATTTTTTTTTATATTTGGGGGTATAATGATCCATTAAAAAATGGAAACCAAAAAGTGGTTACATCTTCTATATCCCTTTATAATAGTTATAGATATAAATTATTATTATTATTATTATTATTATTATTATTATTATTATTATTATTAAAACAAAAACATATGTATTATTTTCCTCTCATTTCATGTCTCGAATGGTAAATACTTTTGGTATAACCCACAAATTATTATATTTCTTTTCCTACTATTTTCGATATATATGAATAAGAAAAAAAATACTCTACTTTTCCTTGATTTTCTCTTCTTAAAATTTATCTTCTTATTTCTCACCGGATTCAAATCAGGTGTAAGAAGACTCCTTTTTTTATTATTTATTTTATACCAAATTCAGTTTATAATTTTTTATATATCTTTTTAAACTGAACCTACTTTTTTACTTTATTCTTTAAAGTGGAACAAATCCATTCTTGTAAAGTTTAATACTCTTAGCGGTATCCAGGTTTCATAATTTTGCTTTTATTTTTAAAATTTATATAAAATAAATATTTTCTATTTATCTCAATTATTAAAAATATTTCATATTTTGTATTATATAACGAAAATCACATAGAAATGAGTTTTATATTAGTTATTTATGATATAAATATTCATATAATTTTAATGATTTAACTGTTTCAATATTATATAATTATTAAAAATATATTGTATATCATTATTAATATATTTATTAACAAAAATACGTTATATTTAATAAGAAATTATTTAAATGAATTATAAAATAGCTTTATGTTAAAAATAACATTTATAATATTTTATATAATTTTTCTTTTTATAAAATAATAATATTGATAAACATGTTAAAAAAGAAAATAAGTATAAAAGAAGGATATAAAAAAGAAAATATGCATAAGAATTAAGGTATAAAAGGAAGTGTATTTAATATTGACTTGTAAAATAAAAATATACTAGAGTGTCATTAAGGTCATCAAAGATCGTCATAAGCAGGTAAGTAAGATGCGTTGACACATCTTTCAACTAGTGTTACCTCGTCACTTATGATGGGATAGGCATAAGCCTTGTATTTTGGTTATTGTCACCCTAGTCATTTAGGACAAGGCTAAGTATAAGTCTTGGTCATACTCTTCAAGTCGCACTTGACGAGCTTCAACCTCTATTATCTACATAACCCTCGACCTCTACTATATGCATAACCCCGGAACTATATGTACATGCCTTAGCTTTGTGCACAAGCCTTGGTCATATGTGTAAGCTTCAGTCACGAGCAACAACCTCGACCATAGGTACTAACACCTTGACCATACTCTTCAAGTTGCTCTTGACAAGCCTCGACCTCAACTACATGCATAACAACCTTGACTATATGCATAATTTATATGCCTTAACCAAGCCTCAACCTTATGTTCAAGCTTCGGCCATAAGCAATAGCCTCAACCATAGGTACTAACACCTGACTTACCCTTGGTAATAAGGGTGCGTACGTAAAATTCATTTGATTGATATTATGATCACATAACCTTGAACAGACAAAAGGACTACCAAATGATATAGATTAAAAGGTAAATTACCTAATTGTTAATCTGATAGACCAGACCCATTAGTCCCAAGGCCCACAAGGGTTAGTATAAATAGTAACGCATCTTGAGGTAAAAAAGTTCATATTTACCCACATTTAATACTATACTATATACTTACTTAAGCGCTAGAGTGTCTTGTATGGATACCCTCCCTATTTGGATTGGATGTTCGACATATCAAGGAAATCGGTAGAAAAGGTTAAAAGAGTGAAGAACAAAGTCACAATCAAATAGTTGTGTATCCTACACAAGTACATTTTGGCCCCCATCATGAGGCTGATTCCTAACGCCTAAATATGGTAACAACCAGGAACACTACAGACTCCACCCAACAACCTTTCAACATGAACCATGTAGAAGTTGAAGGCCAAATGGACCTCTCAGATGCTATCGACTTGCTAAGGGAGGAGATGGTAACAATGTGCTAGATGTGAGAGAAATATGCCTAAGAACTATCAGTCCTTAGATGTGAAAATACTGACCTAAGGAGCCAAGCTCAAACATGACAACTTTAGGGACTGATCCCACACGAAGCATCCTCATACCATGTACCCAAACAAATCTTAATACATCCTTTGCCACCTCTTCCATCCCACATTCTAAGTGGAGTATGGATAGATGCTCCAGTAAGACCCTTTAAACACCCTTTTACCCAAAAGATAATGGAGGCCCCATTGATGGAGAATTGGAAGAGTCTTCCCTTATAAAAAGTACGACAAACCACTGACCCAAATGAACACCTAGATGTATTCCTAACCCAAGTCACTCTCTCCACTCAACATGATGCGACCCTTTGCCACATCTTCCCCACCTCACTGAAGGGCAGACACTAAGTTGGTTCATGCATTTGTCAACTAGGTTGGTCAAATCATTTAACGTTGCATTTTGCCACGAGCAAACCTTAATAGTTATCCACTTTAGCTCTCATTGACATTTGGGAGGATAAGAAAGAATCTCTTAAGTCTTTTATGAACTGTTTCAATAAAGTGGCCATGAAATCAACAACTGTTAAGTCAAAGGACGATCTTGGATTCCTTGAAGTTTGAAGTTTTAATGATAACAAATGAAACATTTTTTTACAAGAGAAAAATATCTTAAAAAATGTTTACTAAATGAAGTGTAAGACGTAGATCATCTGTAAGAAGATGTGAATCAGTTGAAGCGTATAGTTTGTTCCATATACATTAAATGTTCATTATTAATCGAGACTAATGACAAAATTCATTTGAATTCTTTATCTTAACAGATCGAACTAGAAATTCATATCACAAATTTGTTAAAGTAAACAAGATCATGCTTTCCATCAGAACCAAGGACAAAAATCCTTGAAATCACAAAGAAAAGTAGATACGAGCATTGTTGTTACTACTTTGCATTGACATTGTTTCTACAAGTTGCATTTGGCATGGAAATATGATAAGTAGCTTCCTTGATCAGATAAGAGGTACCATTTGGTGAAATGCATTTAATGTTTGCATTAAATAAGTCAACGGTTACCTCTCATCATAAGGAAAGATGTTGAAGATAGACGAAGCAAACTTGTGAGCTAGACTCAAAGTGTTACAACGATCATCTTCTCCAAAACTACTATGTAAGAAGGTTCGAAGCTCAAAAAATACAAGAAGAAGAGACACAATAGAGAAGACATATACATGAAGAAACACACTTTGTATTATATACTTGTGTATAAAATTCATTCTTTCTTGTAAAAAGCCCATTGTACTATATTGGTTATATAACGTCTAAGTGAGATAAAAATAACATCTTTGTAACATTTTTTTATCATTATTATAAGGTTGAGACTAGAGAAGCTTGTCCATAAAACATTAGTTGGTTTAGATTGGAAATACTTGTTTAAAAAAGAATACTTGGTTGTTAAGCTTAGAAAGAATTGTCTAAAAAAAATACTTGGTTGTCAAGCCTAGAGATATTTGTTGTGAAAAAAATACTTAGGTAGTTACCTAAAGAGACAAGTCAAAGAATACTTAGGGTTGAGCCAAAAATAGCTTGTTGAAAGAATACTTGTATCTTTGTTGAAAGATAGTGGAATTCAATTTAGTTGAATTGAAAATTGGATGTACTCTCGATGGTTGAGATGAATCAGTATAAAAATATTCAATGTTTCATCTGACTTTTCTTCACACTCTATCTGACTAGCATTAATACTACACTACAATAAAAGTGAGTTTTTTTATACATATTATTCAACTCTCTTTCTAGTATTTATTTTTTCTCCACAATAACCTCAACCCAACTATGGCGATGGAACAGTTAAACACAATACTAAAGTTGGGCCTTTCGTCAACACTTTGTGCAAAAAAAACCCCACAAGATATAAATGAACTAAGAAAGAGGAAAAAAATTACATGTAAATGGAGGATCTAATAAAGTCTCGTAACATACAAGAAACAATGAATATCAAGTGAAAATGACATATTGAAGGAACCCCTAGGTAAGGTGAAAGAGGCAAAAGCCCCAAGCCCCCACTTTCCTCAAGGTTCAAGGTACTCATCTTACAACCCCCTCAATGCTAGCAAATCAAGAGT